ATTACTGTGTGTTATCCGACATTTTCGCTTATCCGACATTCCGTCTTATCCAACGCCCCTAAAAAAAAACAACAACACGCATAAATTGGCGACGAGAAAAGTGTGCTGCTTGTTTGCGAGCGTGAGTGTACTCTTTCTTGTTGCTCCTGATGGTGCAGTGCCGTAATGCAAAAATCGATTGCAACAGGCGCAGCGGATCGGTTTTTTTTTTTACCGCACTCAATCATTACTGTGTGTTATCCGACATTTTCGCTTATCCGACATTCTGCCGGCCTGCTTATGTTGGATAAGCGAGACTCTACTGTACTACTTTATTGGTGCAAGTGTCCAATTCTTAAGATGCCAGCTAACTAATCTGGTATTTAGTTCAATATGTGCTTACAGTTTCAAATTATTGCATACATTATAATAACAAGAGACAGAGGATAATGTTCTAAATAACTTATAATAATAATCGCCTTAAATTTAAAACTTACAGAGGCACAAATGATTTGTGTTTCTGTGAGTGGCTTCAGATATGATCAAAAGCTTCTATAATCCTTGTTCCTGTCCATGCATCCAACGATGCAAGACTTTTATTCTAAATGGAGAGAATTTTCACTTACTTTCCACTAGTTCTCCCATCTCTGAAGCAATTGAAGTAATAACTAAAATAGGGTGACATTCTGCTCTCAAATTGAAGAGCATTCTCCAACTACATGAAACAGTGTCTAAACAAAGGGTTCCATCAATACTTTTTTCTTTTGTCCATGGGATCTAAATGAATTACTAGTTTGGAAGCATTTTGTCTTTCTAAATCTTTCAGAATTACAACTCTGCTTTTATTCCTTTAATCTTTGGGGTTATTAAAATACTTTACTATTCCAGGTAGTACAGCACACAATGAACCAAGAAGTAAATAAATGTATTCAGTCATTAATGCTTAAAAATTTAGCAGAAATGTTAGTCACTCAGACTTGAATATGCTTTTGAAATATGGATTCAGTCAATTTTATTTAAAAAGTGGTATGTGTGGTATGGGTATCATGTGGATATTTTAGCATTCAGAATTTGAATATTTGAACTTCACAATAGTTCTGATCTTTCCTGTATCTTGAGGATGAGGAGGGAAAAAAAATCAAAACAATGCATTTTATTTCCTACCTTCAGGTTTCATCGTCCTTAAGTGTTGCAAATACTGTGTTGTTGAGATACAACTATCTTTGAAATGAAAATACTCTGTTGTTGAGACACCACTATCTTTCCTGAGGAAAGCACTGCATCTTGAAGCCCAGAGTACATCACAACTGAAATGTCTGCAGCATCTTAAACTGAAGTTACTGAACGTTGTGGTCCTCATATTTAACAAAAAGAGACAGCTAGAAGAGATACAGAAAGGAATATAAAAATAGCCATGTAATATGAATGTTTACTAACTTTTGAATAAAAAAATCTTACTGTTTTTTTCCTTACTAATAGTTGGCTGGGGAGAACTGAAAATGGCTGTTGACAGGAAGGAACCAGAATCCACTTTCAAGTAGGATGGGAACAGACATAGCTGAACTGTTATTTATGGGCCAACTGAAATACTTAGAATAAAATTTATATTCTTCGTGAAAGTAAGTTTATACTATATTAAGAAACTGTATTACTACAGCAACATAAAAAACTAGGAATGTGAGCAATTCTTTCTGCTTTTTCAGAATCTGCTTTTTGTAAGCCAGGTGGAAAATTGCCAATTCTACTTCTCACAAACAGTACAGGAATTTGGTGTAATATCAGTGAATTCGGCAGTAATTAGTCTTAGTACAATCACAATCATGTTTATGATTGTATGATTATGACAGTTGTGCTTTTAAAATGTTCATTGGAGGTTGCAGTTTTGAGTACAACTAGATTATGTGAGTGTATCTTTATTAGCACAAAACTGTTGAGTGTATCTTTATTATTTAGCACTGCAACGCAAATTATTTTTTAAAAAATCTGATAAATTTAAAAGAAGCACCAAGGATTTTCCATAATCATGAATCAATTTGAAAACTCTGTTTAGGAAAGAAAAAAAATGTGAGACAATAAGAATGCTGTGAAAAGAACTGATAACCTTTAATCTTGCTTAAGGAGACAGTACGGATAATCAGATTCTGAAGTCAAACTCAAAAAATAAACAAAGAAGCTTATCAAATAGACTTGAACACTCCCCCCCCCTTTTTTTGACAGTCTGAGGTATGTTTAATTGGTCCTTAGATGAGGGTGAACAATGTAAGATCAAGAGGCTGATTGGTACTGAATCAGCCAGGATTTACTTGTATCAGAATAGGAAGGGTCATGACAGGAGTTTTCCCAGGGGAAAAAAACTGGCAAATCACATAGAATAAATTGGTATGGCATTGCCAACATGTTTGGGATTATAGGAAAACTTCATTATAACAGACTAATATGAGAGAAGGGGGTGTCATTTACACTAAAATGTCTGTTTGAAGGCAAATGGGAGTTTATGCATGGGTAAAATATCAATATGCATACATACAATGGCACATGGATTTTTGTTCAATCTGAAGTCCTCTAAACCAAGTCCAGTTAGTTGAAGTTTTACTGTATCTGCAAAGAAAACTGTTACAGACACAAGCCTTCCCTGCACTGAGCACACCACCTGCACATGGACAGATTCCTAATGTAACAGTGCTTTGTTTCTCTTCCTTTGCCTCCTTGACATCACACCAGTCAGCCTGGGGAATAGGAGTCCTGCCCACATTTATTTTTGTTCAATCTATCATTCCACTGTGGAGAGGAGAGGGATAACAGGGATGCCCAAAAGGAATAGTTTTTCCATTCCCCAAAGCACCTGTTGTACTGAACACCTCTGCGCTAAGGAGGCAAAGGGACAAAGCAGAGCATCATTATATGATAGAAAGACCCCTTACCACAGAGTCCGGGAGCCTTTGGCCTCTCCCACTGCAACTGTTGTTAGCCTAGAATTTGAAACATGCCTTGATGATGGCGGCTAGGAGTATTCGATGTTGTAGTTTAGCAACATTTGGAATGATTCAAGTTTTGTCCTTTGGCTTAGCAAGTGGATGACACACTTTTATGGGAAAGGGACTTGCTGCTGTAGATAAACCTATTAAATCTTCATTAAGGACCGAGAAAACTATAAAAAGGGGCTTGAAACTTACAGACTCTGTTGTGTGTGAATATGTGGAGCAAATGGTCTACTTTTATATTATCTGTAACTGTATTTGTGAATATCCAATTAGTTCAACAGTAAAAGGTGGTATAAAAGGCAGTATGTGCTTTATTATGTTGGCTTGTTATAAGCCTATGACATTGTTTACACTAAAAATTGTCTTATATTAGCACTTATTTATCCTTTTAATGTACACGGTGAAATTTCAGGACCTGAAATACACAAGGGCATGTATTGCAGTATTACAATATATATGTGCTATTTATCCTTTTTAAAGTATGTACATACTACCATGTATTTTTGTCCATGTGTTCTCTTTAGTTCTTAATTATAAAAGATATGTATTTTTTTCAGCAATAAATGATCTCTGTCATGATTTTTTAACCTCAGAACTTTCTTTATTTCTTGCTTTCAATTAAGAAATTAAAAGTTTTATCAGAAAGTATTATTTTATATATCTGTACTTAGAAGGCCGACTGAGTTTACTGAGAACCTAGCCATATTCCTATGTAAATGTACATAGTATTACACTCCAAACATTCTTAAAAGTAAACCTACAGTGTAATTGATCAATACAACAGAGGTTCTGTTCACACAACAAACAGGACTACCTGTAATAAGAAAATTGAAGATTCCAACTAGGCTTCAGAAGATAAAGGTAAGATAAAATAATTCGGAGGGGGGGAGACATTCCAGCTGCACTGTATTAGTTTTGGGGATAGCTTGTGGCAGCATCTAGCTATTTTTATTTGGGTGTGGAAGCTAAGCAGGTCCAGGATAGGTTATTATTTGGATGAAAACTACCAGGAAAGTCCAGGGCTGTATGTTAGATGAGAAGTAAAACAATCTTGAAGAACATGACAAATTATTTCTGCATGGTTGCCATGAAAACTGCATGGATGTGTCCACATATTTGGGCTGCAAAAATCCAGATGGTACTATATGGTACCACTGGTACTATAGATTTTTCTGCCTCTCTGCTGCCATCTCGTGGTTGTCCAAATATTTGCAGCTTTTTTTCAGATACAGCTTTAACAGTCACCAGGAGTCAAAGTCAAATGAAAGTCCTTGGTGTCCTCTGAGCTTGGATGTTTTCTTGCAAATGCTTCATTACCCGACTAGGTGCTATCAGTGCTAATGAGTGTGGGATTTGCTCTCTGGTTATATACAGCAGCTACATATACAGTGGTACCTCAGTTCACGAACGCTTCTGTTCACGAACAATTCGGTTCACGAACAGCTCCGTTCACAAAATTTTGCCTCCGCGAACGCCGGATCAGGTTGCGAACAGGATCCGCGGCCATTTTCCCTCCCGTGACACGTGGTCATGGCTTCCTGTAGGGAGGGGGACTC